AGAAAGCCGGGTAGCTACGTGGGTACGAACGTCGGAGCAGCTAATTTCCTAACCGAACAGCTAGCCGAGATGACAAAGCCGCTGCCACTTATAGAACGAGCTGACCCCCAAGTAGCCGCGCTACTACTCACGCGATGCATTTCTAGACGAGTAGCCTACCTCATCAGAACGACACCGCTCCACCTACTCCCCCGCGACACCTGGAGCCAGTGGGGTCGGGACCTGCTCACTACCTTACTCACCTCCTACGACATCCGCATGCCAACGTGCCGCACCGAGCAAGCGCGTGTGTGGGAGCAGGCGTCGCGGCCCACATCGCTGGGTGGCATCGGCATTACAAACCCACTCGTTGAAGGGATTTACAGTTACACAGCGAGTTTCACTCAAGCGGCGCTGTTCCTGTCCTCCCTGGCGCTGGCACTGGAGAATGCTTTGACAATCGCTCAGAACCACATGCTGCTGCCAAGAGATGACAACACGCCGATGCACTCTTGGCTCAAGGAGTGCGAAGCGGCTCTGCCACTAGACGCACGTGAGATCCTGGAGAAGGAGCGGCTGGAGCGATCGGATATTAGGCTGTGTCAGAATGAGGAATGATGGTTCCATTGATGTTGGTTGGGGTACATATAACAAACCCTAACTTCTGTACCCCCTAAGACAAACCTCACTACAGGCTACAACATTTGACACACCCCCATAGCATAAGTGAGGGGTGTCTAGCAAAATAAAAAAGAGTACGGTCACAAGACCAGTCCAAAAGAAAACAAAGCTCAGGGTGGATCACAACGTCACCACACACTCTGAGCACAAGCAACAGTGGCCACAAGGCCAGTCCAAGAGATCACAAGTATATATAGCAAGAGTACAGACGAAGCAGGCAATAAACTCAAGCCTACATATGACTAGAACCTGTGTCAACAAGGCCTAACTGCACACAACACCTCTGGTGGTCACGAGGAGGAAGCGCCTTGGTGAAGATGTCTGCAGTGTTGGCCTCGGACTCCACAAACTCGAAGCGAGCCTGTCCACGTCTCTGCAACTCTCGCAGAAGAAATTACCTGACGTGAATGTGCTTCACTCTGCTCTCCAGTCGCGGCTCACGACAGAGGAGGATCGACGCCTTGTTGTCAGTAAACAAGGTCGGTGTAGAGCTCGGCCGCTCACCAAGGTCGGCGAGCAAGAAGGTCAACCACCGCAACTCCTGTGCCGCCATGGCACCAGCGTAAATCTCAGCCTCAGCTGTAGAGGTCGAGACAGAAGAGGAGCGCGTGGAACGCCAGGAAACAGCTCCAGAACCCAGACTGAAACAGTACCCCTGAGTAGACCTGTGAGTCTCAGCGTCGTCAGCGTAAGAGGAGTCACAGTGACCAGTGAGTACGACAGACTGCTGCCCTCCAAGAACTAGCCCCACGCCTGATGTAGTCGCTAGGTACTTCGCCACCCTCACAGCTGCCGTCCAGTGAACAGGACGGTGTCTCCCTGGCGCAACAAAGCGCGCAAGGATGCTGAGAGGGAAGGCGAGGTCCGGGCGAGTACAAGTCATCAGGTACATGAGGCAACCCACAAGCTCTGCGTAGGGACCACTAGGCTCAAATGGCTCGTCAGGAAAGGGACCAGTGAGTCTGTGGTCAACAGCGAGAGGTGTGCGCTGTACGGTGGAGTGCTGAAGCCCGAACCGCTGAAGGACCTGCTGCACCATGTGTGACTGTGAGAGTGTAATGGTGCGAGCGGCTCTGTCCCTGGTGATCTGCAGGCCAAGGTAGTGGCGCAGCTCACCAAGATCAGTGCACGTGTGTCTCTTCTGCAGTTCGGACTTCACGTCTGCCAAAGCAACCCTGTCCGGAGTGGCGAAAACGAGGTCATCAACGTAGACCAGAACAAAGAACGGTGTGGAGCCACGATGAACGAACAGCGACGGGTCGGCAGAAGACGGCTGGAACCCAAGGTCAGAGAGGGTAGAACGCAGAGTGTCGTGCCACTCACGAGGGGCCTGGCGAAGACCGTAAATAGGTCGCCTCAGCCTCCACTGGGTCCCAGGAGGGAAAGTGCCAGTGAAGGCCGAGGGACGACGCAACCAGACCTCCTCGTGTAGGCTGCCCTGAAGGAAAACACTGGAGAAGTCGAGAGAGTGTAACTCGTAGTCTCTCTGTGCTGCTACGTGTAGTAACACCCGAAGAGTGGTCATCTTCGGGGTAGGTGCGAAGGTCTGAAAGAAGTCAACTCCCTCGCGCTGACTGAAACCTCTAGCCACGTAGTGCGCCTTGAAGACCGGGGGAGATCCCGGTGGCCGCTTCACTCTGTAGATCCACATGCCGTCGACTACGTTCGCCCCAGGGGGGGGAACCTCATCGACGTAGGTGCCTGTGGATCTGTAGGAGGCCATCTCTGCGTCCATGGCAGCTCTCCACTGAGAGGCCCAAGGCCCTGACACTGCCTCAGCGTAAGTGCGAGGAGTCGGAATGTCAAGGGCGTCGGGGTCACCCTCAGGGGCGAGGAGCATGGCACAGAGATGAGGGGAAGCGGCCGCCAGAAACTCTAGCTCAAACTGCCTGTCCTCTAGGGCGTCACAGCCAAGGGCAGACACACCCCCGACGACCAGAGGACTGGTAGGAGGAGCAGTCACAAGCGTGGTGGCGTAGTCAAGGCGGCGGGTAGAGGCAAAGTCAGTAACCGCGGCAGTAAGAGCGGACACAGAGGACACACAGACACGAGGGTGAGTAACAAGAGAGGCGAGAACACGAGAGAGAACAGGACGGTACGCGCGGTAGTAGTCAGTGACAGGAGCAGGGAGCGACACAGTGAGGGCCGACTCAGGAGGAGACAGAAGCACAGACTGAGACGGACGAGGTGGACTAGAACAAAGTAAGGCAGTACGAAGGTCAGTAAAGGGAACAGGAGACGAGGGACGAGCACGAGGGGAGCGACGAGTAGCCCAAGAACGAGACGAAGGAGAAGAGGACAAGGGCGGAGAACTGGGGAAAACAGTGGGGGAGGAGTCAGGAGGAGGAAACGTGGGACCGTAGACAGGAGGAGAGGCGGAGGAGGGAGAAGGGGAGGGGAGACCAAGGGTCCGAAGACCCGAGACAGGAGGAGGAAGTGGCTGCTGCTGCTGCGGCTGCGACTGCTGCTGCTGCGGACGCGGCTGCTGCTGGGACTGCTGCTCCTGTGGGTCCAGCTGCTGCTGCTGCTCCTCCAGCCGCTGTAACTCCCTCTCCTCTCTCTCCAACGCCAGCTGCTCGTCACGGGCACGGCGAACACGAGCCTGGTGCCTAGTCGGGTAGGGGTGGGGGGGTGGAGTAGTGTCCGAAGCAGCGGCAGCTCCAGAGTCCACCCCCGAAGAACTAGGCGCACCACCCCTAGAGGCAGCACTAACACCAGCTCCAGACCCAGGCTCACCTGAACCCGAAGGAGGCGCACCCTCACCCCCAGACGGAGCACCCCCAGTGGCCGCGCGACCAGCACCAGCTCCCGGACGACAAGAGTCCTCTGCACCCACCGGGACAGCTCCAACTCCAGAACCAGAAACTCCAGCTCCAACTCCAGCTCCAACTCCAGCACCCCCAGAACCAGAAACTCCAGTGCCAACTCCAGCTCCTGTCGAGAGACTAAGTAATTAACAGTAGAAAGGTGGGGCCTAGGCTTAGTAGCCTAGGCCCTAACTTAAGTGTCGAGCGGGTTTTCACCTAGGGTGAGTGTCGAGTGAGTTGAGAGAGGAAAATTGGAGAATGTGTGTCTTCACTATAGTTTCGAAGTACATATAGCAAAGGAAACACATAAGGTGCACCACCAAACAAAGTTTAAATATCTACACTAACTACAGCTACAGGCAGTTACAAATATATATATTGTGACACTCCCCCATAACTGCCTGCAGCAGGAGTATGTGTAGAATACAACCTGCAGGTGTACACATGCAAAATAAATAGCAAGCAACAGCAGGTAATGCAGGCGGGCTGACACTAAGTGGTCACGCCCTCCATCTCCTCACCCTCCTCCTTCCCCTCCCCCACACTGCTGCAGGAGCAGCAGAGAAGGGGGGGAAGAGAGGAGAGGTGGAGGGACGGCTGCATGTTGCCTCACACCCGCCACCCCGGTACCACTCCCCCTGCTCCCCCACATCCTCACACCTTCTCCCCCCAGCGGCAGCTGCAGCGGTGGGACTGAAAGAAGGAGGAGGGGAAGGGAGAGAGGTGACGCCACACTCCAACACCCTCCACCCCCATACCCTCCTCCCCGCGGCTGCAGGGAGACAAAGGAGGAGGGGGGTGGGAAGGAAGAAAGCCGCAGAGCGGCGAAAAGGTGTCGGTGCAGTGGTGTCAGGGGCGGCTTCAGGGAGTGCAGGGGCGGAAAGGCCCGTCGCGGGCCAGTGCCACGGGGCGCACGATGGGTAGAATAGAAGGGCCCTATCGTGTGCCTCGGGGCGCACGACGAGCAGGGCACCATCGTGTGCCACGGGGCGCACGATGGGCAGACGAAGGGCACCGTCGCGTGCCACGGGGCGCGCGACGGGCAGGGAAGGAGTCACTCGCCCGTGGGCGGGACAATGTAAAAATAAAATCGTCACGCGCCCTAGGCGCGCGACCGGAAAACCTTAGCAGCGGAAGTGTAAAGTGGGCCCACAGGCCAGGACGAACCTAGCTCCGATAACATGTCGAGAGACTAAGTAATTAACAGTAGAAAGGTGGGGCCTAGGCTTAGTAGCCTAGGCCCTAACTTAAGTGTCGAGCGGGTTTTCACCTAGGGTGAGTGTCGAGTGAGTTGAGAGAGGAAAATTGGAGAATGTGTGTCTTCACTATAGTTTCGAAGTACATATAGCAAAGGAAACACATAAGGTGCACCACCAAACAAAGTTTAAATATCTACACTAACTACAGCTACATGCAGTTACAAATATATATATTGTGACAGCTCCAACTCCAGCTCCAACTCCAGCTCCAACTCCAGCACCCCCAGAACCAGAAACCGGTACAGGAACAGGCGCAGCACCAACCTCTCGAGAGCTAGCACCAGCGGCACGCTGCGAGGAGGACTGTGGGGAGGGAGGCTGTACCGGAGGGGCTACCGAAGGAGGAGGGGTAGCCTGGGACACACCTGACGGGGCTGGACCAGGGGGGGGAGGCTGTACCGGGGGAGCAGGAGGGGGGGCTGCAGTCAGGAAGAGGGGGGGAGGAGGAACCGGGAGACCTCGACTGGGGTACCTGACGTAGTACGGAGTGGACTCCTCGAAACGGACGTCACGGGAGTCAAAGAACCGGTGAGAGGGAGGGTGGTAAAAGGTGAAGTCAGAGGAGTCCTCAGGGAAACCAAGGAAGACACAGGGGACGGCACGAGGTGAGAGCTTGTCCGCGGAGGTGTCGCGGACAAGAGCCAAGCACCCCCAGACACGAAACCGCGACGCAACACCAGGGGACCCTGTCCAAAGACTGGTCGGTGAAACTTCTGGTCGAGAGACACGTGGCCAGAGGTTCAGCTGGTGCGCGGCGTACCTGACCGCGTAGGGCCACAGAAAATGGGGGGCACAGGCGTGAGTCAGGGAGGTGCGGGCGATCTCCATGACCAGGCCTATGCGGCGCTCAGCAACCCCATTCTGCTGTGGGGACTCTGGAAGCGTCCAGGACTGACGAATGCCTTGCTCGCGACAGAATCCAGCGAGAATGCCGGAGCGAAACTCACCCCCACGGTCGGAGTGGAGACAGCTGACACGACGACCACGAGTGTCCTCAGTGGTGAGCAACCACCTGATCAGCGTAGAAGTCACCTCAGACTTCTTCGCCAGAGGGAACACTGTGGTGTAGCGGGAGAAGTCGTCAACGACCACCAGAAAGTAACGCTCACGCTCAGGGCCTAGACGAGGGGCGGGGCCCCAGACGTCCAAGTGAAGCGTCTCAAAAGGCTCGGTGGCCGGACGAAGGGAGGAGGAGTGAGGGGTGGCGCGCAGCCGACCCTCGACGCAGGGACCACACGGCGGCGCAAGCGAAGGCGGCAGCGACGGCAAGACACGTGGGAGGCCTAGGACAAGACGCTGACTAGACATAGCGCGCAGACAAGGAAGGGACGGGTGCCCCATCCGGTGGTGCCACACAACGGTGGGGTGGGCAAGCGACCGGCAGGAGCACGACGCAGCGACTGGAACAGACGTAGGAACCTGACACGACACAGACACCTGGGGGGACGAAGCAACCTGGTGAGACGCGGGGACCCGAACGGGGGGGGGAACCGGGGGCAGTGGCAGTAGGGGGGGCTGCTGGTGCGGCCGCTGGTGCTGCTGCTGCTGCTGCTGCTGCTGCTGCGGCTGCGGCTGCTGCTGCTGCTGCGGCTGCTGCTGCGGCGCACGCGGGCCAGTGTGAAGAGTGTAGAGACCCGAGCCCGGCTCAGCAGTAAAGGTAGCAAGAGGCTGGTAAGAGTCTCCGTCAACACACACCGCAGTCTCTCCAGAAGGCTCAAACCACACACCCACGTGCTGACTCACAAGGGGTCGCACGCCCACCAAGTTCCGGGAGAACGAGGGGACGTGAAACCCAGTGAGAGACCCGGAGGGAGCAGCAGGACACGGTAAAGTGGTAGTGTGACGTGCAGTGACTGGTCCCGTAGTGGGATCAGCCAACGCTACAGAAACAGGCGCAGGAAGTGGTGTAAGTGTCGTGCTGTCCCGGAAGAAGCAGTGGGAGGCTCCAGAGTCCAGCGTGAACGACAGCGAAGCGTCCTCTGAGGTAGCCGCTGGTCTAGAGTCTACACAAGAACCTACACTAGCAACAGGCAACTGAGCAAGACTACCACCTAAGCTAACAACACCAGAATAAACAGAGTCAGAAACACTAGAGTCAACAACAGCATACATAGCATGAGGAGCACTAATCAGATCAACTAACTGCTGAGCAGACATGCCCCACAGAGCGGAGCCGTAGCGCTGAACCAGAGGAAGCCAGTCAGGAGCAGGACCGCCAACCCCGTAGGCCAACCGGACCGTGTCAGTGAGCTGAGCAAAGCACTGACCAGGGGGGTGAAAGCGGCCACAAGAGTGGCCCCAACGAGGACCTGTCAGAACCTGGTAGGGGCAGGGAGGGTAAGCAGCACCGCGCTGGGGCTGACGCAGCCCCGACCCCGGAGCCAGCTGCTGACGCTGCTGCTGCTGAGGCTGCTGGGAGGAAAGGGGCTGCTGCTGCTGCTGAAGGTGCTGCTGACGTTGAGCCTGGTACCACGCCGTTGCTCCACCTAGCGGGGCCGGCAGTACAGGAGGCGACTGACGAGCTCGGGGGTCGCCGCCACCAGCAGGTGCAGTGGAGTCACCAGCCGCTGCACGAGGGGTGTCTCCAGACGCTGCAATCCCACCACCGCCAGTCGCAACAGCACCCCCACTACCTCCGCTACCTCCGCCTCCACCTCCACCAGAACCACCTTTCTTGCCCCCCCTGCCGCGGGACCGCGACGCAGTCGTAACAGCAGCCGCAGTCGCGTCAGTAGCGGCAGTGGCAAGAGAGGCAGTGAAGGTGGGTAACTGCGGGACTGTGCACCCGTGGAAGAGTGGGGGGGACACAGTACCAGAGGCGGCAGCTACCGAACGAAGGTTGCTCTCGACGTCCTTGAGTGCAGACTCAAGGACCTCGATAGTCAGCTCACTAGGGTGCTTCAGCAGAAGCGCGTCACGAACGGAGGCAAGGCGGTCAGGGAGGCTAGTGACGATGAAATAGACAGTAATCGCCATGGGGGGAGGAAGCAGTGCAAGCTGTGCCTCAGTGCAAGCAGCGCGGTAACTAGCGTCGAGCGAGCGGAGGTGAGCGATCAAGTCAGCAGAGCGCTCAAACGAGGCGAGATCAGGAAACAGGAACGGGAGGAAAAGACGGCCAAGAGAGACAGTAGCGGGAGTAGAGTAGCGGGCCTTAATCGCAGTGAGGTACGCAGCAGCGGTGCGAACCTGAGTAAAGTGGACCTCCTTGGACTCAGGGAGGAGGCTGCTGAGTGCGATGCAGGCCGCAGCGTCACGCGACGTCCAAGCCGTCCGGTCAGCGCGCTGACGGGCAAAGCGAGCCGTAGCAGCGTCGTCAGGGGCAGGGCCTAAAGCTGTAGGCTCGGGGGGCTCAGGGAGGTCACCAGTAGCGTGCGACCAGAGGGTCTGGCCCCCCTGGATCTGACTCTCTAACAAACGGCGAGCGCGAAGAAGCCAGACGGAAAAGTCAAGGGGTCTACCGTCAGCGTCGAAACGAAGAACTCGCGGAGTCGCCATAGTGAGAACTAACGCGAACGAACAGGCGAGTAACAACCGGGGGGGAAGAGGACTCAGTCGCAGCGGAAGAGCGGGCTAGGGCGACGGGCCAGGGCGTAGGGTAGGGCAACAGGCCAGGGCGTAGGGTAGGGCGACGGGCCAGGGCGTAGGGAAGGGCGACGGGCCAGGGCGTAGGGAAGGGCGACGGGCCAGGGCGTAGGGAAGGGCGACGGGCCAGGGCTTAGAGTAGGGCGACGGGCCAGGGCTTAGAGTAGGGCGACGGGCCAGGGCGTAGGGCAGGGCGACGGGACGGGGGAAAGGGCGGGAGCGACGCGACGGGGCAGGGCGACGCGACGGGGCAGGGCGATGGGACGGGACAGGGCGACGGGACGGGGCAGGGCGACGCGACGGGGCAGGGCGACGCGACGGGACAGGGCGACGGGACAGGGCGACGGGACAGGGCGACGGGACAGGGCGACGGGGGGGAACGGGAGGGCACGACGCGACGGGGGGGAACTGGCGGGCACGACGCGACGGGGGGAACGGGCGTGACGCGACGGGGGGAAAGGGCTCGACGCGACGGGGGGAAAGGGCGCGACGCGACGGGGGGAAAGGGCGCGACGCGACGGGGGGAAAGGGCGCGACGCGACGGGGGGGGGGGGGGGGAAAGGGCGCTAGGCAACGGGGAGAAAGGGCGCTAAGCGACGGGGGGAAAGGGCGCTAGGCTCGGTACTAGGCGCGGTAACAACGGAACTGGTACGAACGAGAGGTAGGATCAGGCTCGGGAGGTACGAACGGAGAACGGAGGAACAGGATCCCACAGGATCCTAACCTAGCTGATACCATGTCAGAATGAGGAATGATGGTTCCATTGATGTTGGTTGGGGTACATATAACAAACCCTAACTTCTGTACCCCCTAAGACAAACCTCACTACAGGCTACAACATTTGACAGGCTGCAACATGTGCTCGGGCTAAAGGTGTACGGAAGTAGATACGCCGTACAGGTCCACGCAACCAGGCGCATGCGGCTAAACCCACTCTCACGCCACACTCAGCGTATGCTTTCGCTGACAGGATATGGCACTGGCGATTGGCTGACCACGATCCCCATTGAACCCACGAGACGGATAGGCCCCGTACACTTCGCCGACGCCGTTCGATTCCGCCTGGCCCTCCCCTTTTCAACCCCTAAGAACTGCGACTGCGCGGACAAGACTGCCATCACTGATCCCCGCCTGCCGAACCATCTCCTCCGCTGCGGTTTGGGCAAACACCGCATTAACACCCACAACGAGCTACGGGATGCGTGCATTAGCATGGCGCAGCACGCAGGTTTCATCGTTCACGGCGAGTCGGCCGCCCATAGCCCTATTGAGGAACAAACCGCTGACTTTACCATGACGGATAGAAGCAGCGGAGCCGTTTATGTCTGAGATGTCACCATCACGGACCCGATAAGCACGAGGGACCCAGAGGCGCAGAAAGGGAGGGGTTGGGCGGCACGAGAATTAGCGGATAAGAAAATCCAGCATTACGCCAACCGGCCGGAAACGATCAGCTTTTTTCCATTGGCAGTCGACACCTATGGCTGCCCATGCGCGGAATTACCAACCTTCCTGAAGCTACTTGCAGACACGGCGGCTCGGCGCCACTTCAACGCCGACTCTAAATCCTTTTATGCCGCCAAGTTCCTGCACCAGTTTCGGCAGCGATGGTCAGTGGCCCTTCCGAGGGCCCAATCAGTAGGCCTTCTACTCAAGTTGGGCCAGGCGGCAGCAGCGGAGAACCCGCCTGTAGGGGGTATTGGTCAAGAGTTACACCTAGGGGACTGTTTTGCGGTGGTAGAGCCCTTCTTGGAGCTCTAGGGGAATAGTGAGTAGGAATTGGTGCTTTGCTTGCTTGTTTGTTACACCTATACACTGCATGCATGTACTTTGCTGCCATATCAATACACGTACATTGTTTTCTGTGGAGTTCATTTCACTCTCAGAATCCAGCGGCTCGTTTGAGAGAGAGCGAGAGAGAGAGAGAGGGATGTCATAGTCCTTCCTTAACCGTTTCTAGGCCTTCCTTCTCTAGGGACCAGTCCTTAGCCCCTCTGAGCCTCTCACCCCTAGTATATAAGTCCTGGGAGCTCCTGCTCCTCTCATTGTTTTCTGTTGAGTTCATTTCACTCTCAGAAGTACCACTGGCGGGACAGGTTCACTAAATGAAGCAAGGCATCATGCAAATGTAGACAGCGGACACACCATCAACACCCCCAAGTGAGGGGCTGCCTCCATGGGGAAGCCAAAGGCCCGGGGAGGAGTAAATAAGGCGGGCACGGGGAAAGGGACGGCTACTCGGCAAGGATCCAAGAAAGCCGCCCGTCCATCCAGCGTAACACGGATGCGGCAGCTGGTACAATGTCGAGTGGTGCCTGCAAATCGGCAAGCACGAGCCGCCTCAGCGCTGCGGGACCAGGCCCCAAAGCAGACCCGGGAGAGCCGGGCACAAACCCGATCTCGGGCAGCATCTGCAAAATCTGCACCGCCGACGCCACAGCCACCGTCTGTTCCTGCCCTGACAGCATCGGGGGAAGAGCCCCAGGACGACGCGTCCGGCGCTGATAAGCGCCAAGTTGGTCCAGCACATCCGCAACCAGTGTCAGGCACGTCCACACGTTCGACACGCGCTGCTCAACGCGGAGAGCCCTTTCGGCAGGAGGGGACTCGTCCCATAAGCTCCAGCGGTGCTCGGGGGTGCCAGGGGGGGGAGCCTCCAGTGCATCCGGCGGTAGCGACTCCCACGGGTAGGCCCCGTGCTGCGGAATGCCCAACGTTGCAGCCCC